TTTTCAACTAAATATTACGAGTTAAATCTTCAAAAAAGTTCTCCAAACAATATTTGACACATAGAGGATCTTAAACGAGTGCTGATATCTGATGAAATTTATGGAATGAGTTGCCAGATTTAATATTATCTGAGCTTTAAATTTCATAATATGACATAAGCACGAGTGAAATATTCTATTTACATATATTCCAGACCCAAATCGGTGTCAAGTAAATATCATAACTTGTTTACGGTATTTTCCACGAATGAATATGTGGTTGGATAATTTCTAACTAAAGGTGTGAATACATAAGGTCCGTAAACGTATATGGGATCATACGTTGTTTTAGAAATTGCATTAATATAGTGGAAATATATAATTATAGTTATAATATCTATTTATAACATAACTAAGTGTCTGGATTAAGTTTCAGCCCACGTGTTTCCTTATCTGCAGAGCAAGTTTAAACAATTCTACAATATACATAATATGACGTTTCAATACATGATCACGTAGTCGCAATTAAATCTAATGAAAAAAGGATATACCTCCGTTAAAACTTAAAATTTGTTATGCAGAGATCTACTTCTGAAAGTGAAATGAAAAATGAAATAAATGGAGTTTTAATTCCTGTTCTCTGCACTATGAGGGATAATCAATACGGGCAACGTCATGCAGAGTGCAATGAGGGGAATTTTGCTAGGACAGTGGCATCAGCCTGCTCTTTTTCGTTTTCCAACTGTCGAGGGATCTTTATCGTGCACAGCCTGTGCCGGGGCTTTGGTTTATTGTCCCATCCGAAAGAACATGTAAGCCCCTCTTACCTGCATCACTGAGAGAGTTCTACTTCCGAGCAACCGTAAAAGAAAGAGAACGTTTGGTTAAGATTACTGTAACACTTAGACTTAGGGCCAGACGAAAAAACTATATTTTACCTTTCTACCAGCTGGTCCTTGGCAAAACCTCTTGGTATTGATCTTTCCCGGATTATCCGTACCCATTTACAGCTGGATCGACTGGAATTATGAGTGAAGATGACTTATTCAGTGTCATCGGACTTACACACGCCGATCGAGATCGGAACCCATATCCGCCATCCGCTCGACGTATCCAAGAAAATGACCTCATGTGTAGAAGCAACGCTCTAACCGACTGTGCAATAGAACCTCATTTTCATGAATGTATTTTTTCGCCTGATCAGGCCGCATCGTGTGCTCATCGTATCCAGACCCGGACCCGTGTATTCGCTCCTTCTATTTTCCTCTGTATCGAGTATCCCGCACCGTACACCGTACCGGACACCGGATTCGCTTCTGTACGAAAAACTGTCATAATGACACGTCCCATCGTGTTTTCATCGGGTCTGGATCCGTACTTCGTGTATTCGCTTCTTCTATTTTCTACAGTATCGATAATTCCGCACCGGACACCGGACGCCGTATACGTGAAACGTGCCTCGTCTTTTCGCACCTTAAAGATGCGGTGTCCTTTGCGGTATACGATGCGGTATTATCGATACAGTAGAAACTAGTACAAACCAATCGTGTACGCACCGTGTCCGGATCCGTACCTCGTGTGTTCACTTTTTCTATTTTCTACTGTATCGATCATCCCGCACCGTACATCGCATCGTACCTTTAAGGTGCGAATAGACGAGGTCCGTGCGTTTTTTCGTCCGGGAAATCAAATACACGAGGTCAGTCAACGTATACGTTGTCGTACGGTGTTTTAGAAATTGCATTACTAGTGGAAATTTTAAGAAAATATTGTTTTAACTGAGTGTCAGTCTGGATGAAGTTTACTGTCAACGTGTTTCTAATTAACATAGAATGACTGTATGAATACACGATCACATGTTGCAATTTAGTCTAAAGGAAAAAAGATGCATATATCTTTGTTAAAAATTTAAGCTTAATAGTTTGGTCGCCATACGAATAAACTCAACCTTTCTTCTTAGATACAGTTTTATATCAATTTTAATTTATTTCTTTATTTGGCATAAAAAAATACGTTATTCCATTATCAAGAATATGAATCGGAATGGAAGTTGTCAACTTTTTCTAATATCAGCTTGGTTCCGAATAATGAAGTTTTGATATGAATAAAACTCGAGCGGTGACAAAAATCATAGTTAAAGAGACAAAGCGAAGTTTGAAAATATGTCTTCAAGGAGTACTAGAAATATACGATAATCGCATAATTTCTTCAAAAACTATGAATTTCTTTTCCTTTTTCCATAAATGTCTTGTATATTATATGCGTGTCTCAAGATAATACGACTCGTCTTTTTAACTTTCAAACGCGGATAATTCTGGACAAACATGGATTATTAGCGACGGTAATCTGTGAACATTATTACTGATTGGCTGAGAAGAGGAAGTAGAGGAAACAGTCAATTATAGCCCTCGACAGAAAGACTGTAAACAATTTGCGTGTATATTGGATAACCAACACTTTTTCCTTGATAGTAAATTTCCTCACGATACACGAACCCAATCCATAAACCTCTTGCCGAAACACCTGACATATATTTACAGCCATACATAACTTTCTCAATAATAATTTTATGCTATAATCAATTTATGTATCATGTAGCCTAGAATAATTGTGTATTCTCTTTTATACATTTTACTTTTTTTACATTGTATACATTTTCATTGAGAAGGTACATGTATAATCGAAAGCTTGAAATCTACTCCTATCATAAATATTGTTTATACAAGAAAAAAAGATGGAATATGCAAGTTATCATTTTGTGTTCAAACCCTATATCAAATTTTTCAAAAATGTAACTGTACAAAATTATATACTATATTTATTGGATGTACACTATAGTCTTCTTCGTTCATGAAATTAGTTCAAAGAATTTTAAAATATATCTTCATCGATTTCCGTCCAGTATTTATACCGCGGCGTCCGGGAAAATCTGTCTTGGTAGCGATTTCTTCACATCGTGTCCGTACATCGTGTATTCGCTTCTGCTATTTTCCACTGTATCGATAATCCCGTGCCGCACACCGCATCGGACAACGGACGCCGTCTATTTGCTTCGGTCATTATTACACTTCTCGCCGCGTCCGCATCGTGTCCGGACCCGTACCTCGTGTATTCGCTCCGAACCGGACATCGAACACCGGACGACCTATACGGGAAACGTTTCTCATCTATTCGCACCTATAGACGAGGTAGGTGTCCGGTGCGGTGTACGATGGGGATTATCAATCCCACGGGAAATGAAAAAAAAAAAATCAAGGCCGCACCGTGTCCCGACGCGTACCTCGTGTGCGGACACGATTGGCTTCTTCTATTTTCGTCGGTATTATTCCACACCGTACACCGTACCAGACACAATTACACTGAAACATACTTTTATTAATTCGTTTTCTTTAACGTATTTGTTTATATTATCGATCTTGTCGGGGTATGAACTCGAAATTACAAATTGCAAGATTTATCGAGATCCCTAAAAACAAATTGTGGGATAAAGGCATAAATTTTGGTAAATGGACCTTCTGCTTCTACAATGGGTAGGACTGAAAGTAACTATCACGTTCTTATGAATGATTTACTTTACCAGAGACACAAGTCAAAATACCCAAATCAATTGACATATAATAACATATACATTGTTCTTCCAGTTGTATTGTGTATCAGCTATGAGTGTTCCCCAGTTGCCTATCAAAGTGAACAATGTACCATAACCAGAAAAGTTGAACAAAATGCATTCGTTTGGACTAAAGATGGTAACTTCATATTTTCGTCGGCATATCAACCTTCAAATTCGTGCATAGCAAACTCACCAAATGAAATGTATGCTGATTATTGTTACAAAGATTCGACGAATTACATTTTTATCTTAGAGATACTTAATCCAGAAAATCATGCAAGCAGTACCTTTTTAGATGGAACAACTGGAAAGACAACAACGATTAATTTAATGGGTTATATTACCTTTATTCAGCTTCGGGAGCATGACATGAGTTCAGCTACTCATATAAGAAATATAGAAGACTGATAAAATGTTTATGATGACTCATTGTTCCTAAATTTATTGGACCAGAAGCAGCTAGCACTAATTCGTTTAATTCATTTCGATTCTAAAGCTAGTTTTAAGTACAGGAAAATGACCTCGGACTCGTTTTTACAGAGTTTAGAAAACCCGAGAAAGAGGAAGGCGGGCCGTAGAATACCCGAAGGCGAAGATGAGAGTCTGGATGTTAGAGTATAACAGAAGCATTGTCTGGTATATTGATAGTGTTGAGTTGGTGAAAGTCTCCATTAGCAACAAATTTAGTACGACGCGTTTAGTTAAAACGCGTTAGTTTTAGTGGAATTGCAAGAATCACAGAGGTCGGAATGAAAATTGGTATGGAGCAAATTGATGCTATCAATGTCCCCGATACACAAAAAACGTTTAGAAAACATCTTTACAATGCCTTTAATGATAAAACTAGCTTAGTTACCTCTTGGAATGTAATAAACATCATGGCTGCCAACACCAACTTTGAAACCAATCTGGTGTTAAGCCCTAGGGGTTGGGTATTTGGACCTATAGAAAGTCCTGTAAATTTCACGCGAAAAAACACCATCTTCGGTTTAGCTCAACACCCCGTGTTAAGATGGTGGCATGTTGACACTTAACACCAACTTTGAAATGGGGTTACACCAACACCACGTGTTAACACCAACACCGCAGCTTGATTACAAAGTTGGTGTGGAAATGGGTGTTAGTGTTGGTGTCGCTGTCGGTGTCAACACCAACACCAACTTTGAAATAGGGTTACACCAACACCAGGTGTTAACACCAACACCGCTGATTGATTACAGAGTTGGTGTAGAAACTGGTGTTAGTGTTAGGTTTAGTGTAAACACCTGGTGTTAACACCAACTTTGAAATCACCCATTGTTTATATTGCAGGTTTAAATTTTGCGGAGGTAAGGAGCATAAAAATCTGCGAATGTTTGAAAATCCTCAAATAACTGGTCCTCACTCAGACGAAAATGGTAGGAGGTACATGCTTTACAAGGAAGATGCTTCCAAAACCAATTCTGTTGGATTAAAACACAGATAGGTTGTACCCAAAACTACCAGGGCATATGATAACCCTTCTGACCCAGAGCGGTGTTACATTAAGATTTTTTTGAAATACAAGGAACTGGTAAGTTTGTTTTAATCAGTCCCCTTCAATCCAAAAACGTTGACTCACTGGGTTGACTTCTTTTGCAAATAGCCATTGCAAATATCCACCAGGGACTGTCGTAAGCTCCTTCGGTACATTTTAGTTTTACATTTATTATTCGTAATCGTAAGGCTCTGCAATTCCCAATTAATTGAACAGAAATTTTATATTTCAGTCCTAAAAACTCTGCCAAACCAGCTTTGTATTTCATCCCAATGGCTAAATGGTTTAGTACGGTACCAATTGGTCACAATTCCTTACAGTGTATTATCAAACAGATGTGTGCTTATGCTGGTTTCCAGGGAAATCGTAGTAACCATTCTCTACGGGCCACTACAGCGACAAGGCTTTTCAAAGGCGGGCCGACGAGCAACTTATTTGCTAACAAACCGGTGAGTTATGGTTTTGCTTTCATTTTCTATAAATAATACGCTTCTGATTTATTAGGTATCCCCTATTTTTACAATTTTGAATAGCTCTATATTTGTCACAATATTATTTTGTCTTGTAGTATTTTGTTTTGTACTGGGAAAATCGCGACTAAGAAAGTGTCTAGTTATTGAGGACTATGCACGAGATCGAAAGCATGAGGATGAATGCACGTGCACCGTGGGTGGAAAGGTCAAACTTGGTGTATTATAGGGTGTGTCGAGACGACGGCTAGGAGACCGGACCGGACGTAAGATGTTATAGTATAGCCCGGAGAATTCCGACGGGTGGTTATTTGTCATAAATGATACGAACTTTGGCCTATTTGTTTTGACGAGATGTTTCTAGAAATAGTAATTTATTATTATATTTGTAATACTCCAACCATTTCGACACGCATAACTTTACTAATGGAGGTTCGCTTATAACCTACATGTTTGTGAATATTGTAAGCATACGTTATGTGTTGTAAACTTTAGAGTACTTTCATTTCCTGTTATATGTTGTAAACTCTAGACTACTTCCTGTTCCTGTTATTTGTTCCTGTTGGTTTATAAACTTCGGACTACTTCCTGCTCCTGTATGTGTTATAAACAACGAGTAATGGAGTGGTATTTATGCTAAACCTATGGTGGAATACTTCAACCGTTCAACTAACGCGTCGTTTTAAAATTGTCGGGACACTGCGTTGTATTAATACTATTGTTTAATATACGTGTATGATTCTTTTATTGACTTGGGTACTTCAGGACTAGTTAGCCTCAACTTTGTGACAATATTATCGTTTTCGATGTGAATTTTGAAACATTTAAGTGTACCGTGTAAGCGGTGTTACTATAGGAAAACTCAATTTGCTTCAATATCTTTCATACAGTAATGTTAGTTTTCATAATATAATTTCAGGACACAGAAGTAATGTGGTTAGGTTATACAAACGGACATCTGATGAGCAGCTAGCAGAAATGTCCGATGATATAAAGGTACCAAAAATGGAGAAAACTGTACCTGCCGAGACAGTTACAAATGTGGAACTTGAAAGGCAAATGTAAAGTTAGCTGCAGAACGTCGTAATGACGCAGTGTCAAAATCTGACAAAATTAAAGATTCTGGAATATGTTTTATTTTTAATATCAATAAATAAACTTTCCCTCTAAAGTAAGACTTTTCCCCCAAAGGTAGAACCTGTCCCTGAAAAGTAAAACCGTCCTTCTCAAAATAATAACCTGCCTACCTCAAACTAAGGTTATTATTGAATTTGAATCAACCTGAAACATCAAAGAAATTTGCCGCCATATGATTATAATAGCGATAACTCCTTGGACCCAGAATTTCTGCTGCTGCTCAGTGCATCCACTTGTCAATCGCAATGTTCATATTAACACTTCCGAAGCATAATTTTTTTTCTATCATTATTGCTCTGTTAATTAGTTTGAGATTTGTTTACATTGTAACTGTGTGTTTTTTTTAGCCTCGATACACGCAATTTGATACATCGAGTTTTGAAATATTTGAAAATTTTCTTGAGTTTAGTTAGAATATATAATAATAATAGGCCTTCGGGTTGGAACCCTTGAATACCGAAAGAATGAAACATTATGATGTTATCGGTAAACTGTTGGTCTACATTAAAAGTGATTGTCCCTTGAAACGTTCCGTTTGCGTAATAAAGTTTTGATTCAATGTTGTGTTTTCTGATTCGATTCGAGATTTGATTCGTTTGAAAGGAATTTATTCAAAAGTAAACTGTTCAGTTACTTGTTCACGCAAGTTTCATCATGATTTGCTTCGACAACGCAAGTGTAATCGGTAAAATGTGATCGGTGCACCAAAGAATCCGTTTAAGACCGCGACTGGTAAATCTCCACGCTATCCAAGACTGTCGTTTGTACAGAACAAACCTGGATAAACGTGCCTACTCCTGGTTCATATGAAAGACTATGAAAGTATAAAAATATAATATTTGCATGCTTACTGTTATATTTATAGAGTCCTAGCGGAGTTATAGGGTAGCAAGTAGCAACCAACGATACATTTATTTAGTGAATAGAGACTTTGACACATACACTTCATTCAGACTTCATTTAGGAAATTTAATGGTCAATATACCGACTTTCTGGTCAATTATTACAAAACTGTTTCATTCATCTGATTGTATCTCATGATTTTGACCCATATAGTAGTGGTGCGTGTCGCGTTCAAAGCAGATCATGATTACACTTTTCGAAACACCTGACAGTAATCCTCTTTGGAGGAGTACACTACTTTACAACTTTTACCCTCGTTTTTTCCATACTTTGGACGAGAGTTTGAGTAAAGAAATTGTCTTGAATGTACGGCTTTTTATTATACATGTAATAATGATGATAATGGTGTTTATGTGGAAATGATTATATAAACATTAAAATACGATGGATTTCGTATGAACGTATGTACAAATTAGTTATTTGTTCTTTAGAACACGTATTCGATGTTAAAACATAGTTAGACAGTAGTCCTTTGTTGTTTTAGGCCATTATTTCAAAAAAATGTACTGTTTTTGTGAACACCTACTCACAACTTCCAAAAACTGTACTTTCTTTGACCTAAGAATGTACAGTTTTTGGAAAAAATAGTACATTATTAAACTTAAGAAAGAGCAGATTTTCAGATAACCAGAACAAACATATTATTGCAATTTTTGAAGCAATACTACAGTCAAATGAATCAAAATTTCATGGACAAATTCATTCCTGGCATTGAAAGTTTGAACTCTCTGAGTTCCTTATGTTCTTTGTCACTGGTTTCCTCATTAACGCAACGTTCTTGCTTAAATTTAGTTGGGCTTGTATCCACCAATTCTTCCAATTTATGTTTTTTGGAACCACTATGCAATACTGAACTCACAGAGGCTTGCTGGGCATCACTTGTTCTTTTATATGCTCGTACAGCATTAGTGTAATAGAGGCAATATATTTTAATTGTAAATATTATTTATTTTAGCCAGATATTATTTTTACTAACATACTGTAATCACTTTTCAATTTCAGTTCAACTGAGTGAACTCTTCCTTTCTTCACTCACTCATGCTTATTTCTTCTCATCTTTTTCTTTCTCTCCACTGGTCTGTCCTTAGTTTCACCTTTCTGTAAATTGGTTACCCCTGGATTGTGACTATTTCCTATAGTTTTGTTTTCATTAATTTTATATATTTCAAAGTGGAAGGTGTTTCAACTCCCTTATTGAAATATAGAAAGATCCTTCAATGATTTAAATTTGTATTTTTCATTTCAATTTGGATATCATTGTGTCTAAGGATTTATTAGTATATTTGGTAAGTTAATCTTATTTGGTATTTCTCTTTTTGTTGTTTATTTTGTTAATAGGTTATATTGGCCAATTTCATTGTCAAGTGGTAGCCATTTTGGATCTATATACATATGGGTTTCTGTTTTTGCATTAGGTACATTTTATATAGCATTACGTTCATCACAGTAATTTCCTTAAACTTACATTATCACATTTTATTCCTTTGTAGACTAGACCTCAATTGTTGAATTCAAGCCTTTAGCTTGATTGACTCCTTAAACCCCTTTTTGCTTAGGGTAAGTCTTTTTGCATTTTTGTATATAATTGTATTATATTTTGTTTTAAGACTGTTTGTATAGTTAGTATTTCTAGTTATTACTTTAATAACAAGATCAAGGAAAATAGTTGTATTATAGGGTTTATATTCAGGTATTATTGTAGTAATTAATATTCTTCTTTTGAATATTTCAGGGTTTTTGTTAAGTAATAAAGTTTTATCAACCCATTTGGATGTGTGGTTAATTAGCCTACCCTAATTCCTGACCACCCATTTCATTGGCGCCCAACGTGATTGTACCTACAGTTCCTGTTTCCTGAAAAAACCCGTGAGTGAATATAATAGTGCACTAACATTTGCGATGTTGCTGCAGCAATAAGTGATATTTGGATTCGTTCATGCATTTTTTGTAAACTGTGAGTAACTTTCTATTTACCGTGGCCCATTGGGGACATTTGCAATTTTTTTATTTTTCGACGTTTCTCGGTGGTTTGAGAGCAGAAGAACTGCAGAAAACAGGAATTGAAATTGTGAAAATTCGAGAAACCGACAAAAAATAGAAGGAATGGAGGGAAATAGAGAAACTTTAATTAGAAAGGTGACACAAAATACATAAAAATCACAAAAATTCATAAAAACAATAATTAATCGAAATCGTAAAAATAGTGGTGGTAATTAATTTCAACCGTGGTGGTAATACATTTCAACCGCGGTTGAAATTAATTTTTGCGATTTCACTTTGAATTTTTTGTGTTTTTCATAATATTTTGGAAAAAATTAATTTTTCATGTTTTCACTATTTTTACGATTTTGTGTACTCATTCTGTGCCCTATTATTCTCAATGGATCTTTTTATACGCCCACACATTAATGTGGGGCGTATATAGTCGTCGCCCCTGTCTGTCTGTCTGTCTGTCTGTCTGTCTGTCTGTCTGTCTGTCTGTCTGTCTGTCTGTCTGTCTGTCTGTCTGTCTGTCTGTCTGTCTGTCTGTCTGTCTGTCTTCCACAATTGTTTGTTGACACGATAGAGAGCTGGGTTCTTGATGGATGGAACTTGGCGTGGGTCTTTGTAATCATCCAAGGATGAAGCCTAATGAAAATCAGACGAATCGAAAAATATTTACTATGAGTTATTGCCCTTGTTCTTGAATTGTTTCTGGACACGTAAGAGAGCTGGTTTCTTGATGGATTTTGACGAAACTTGGTGTGAGTGTTTATAATCACTCAAGGATGAACCCTTTTGAAAATCAGACCAAGCGAAAAAAAATTACTATGAGTTATTGCCCTTGTTCTTGAATTGTTTGTGGACACGATAGAGAGCTGGTTTCTGGATGGATTTTGACGAAACTTGGTGTGAGTGTTTGTAATCACTTCAGGATGAACCCTATTGAAAATCAGACCAATCGAAAATATTTATTATGAGTTATTGCCCTTGTTCTTGAATTCATTGTGGACACGATAGAGAGCTGGTTTCTTGATGGATTTTGACGAAACTTGGTGTGAGTGTTTGTAACCATTCAAGGATGAACCCAATTGAAAATCAGACAAATCGGAAAATATTTGATATGAGTTATTGCCCTTGTTCTTCAGAACCCGTTCAATTTTTAGTTTGTAAACACTCTGGAAGGCACAATTCTTGATGGATTTTTATGAAACTTGGTGAAATTGTTTATTATCACCCAAGGTTGAATCCTGTCCAAAATTAGAATAATCGAAAATTATATATAAATTATTTTATATGAGTTATTGCCCTTTTTCTTGAGAATGCGTTTTATTTTTAGTTTGTAAACACTCTAGGAGGCACAATTCTTGATGGATTTTGATGACACTTGGTGAAATTGTTTAATATCATCCAATGATGAACCCTATCCAAAATGAAAACAATCAAACATTTTTTATATGAATTGATGCCCTTGTTTTTGAAAACGCGTTCAATTTTTAACTTGTAGTTGTAAACACTCAAAAATCGTTCAATTTTGTAATCATTCTTGATGGCACGGTTTTCGACAGATCTTTCATTTACTGATAGTTCTTGTCGACCTCCCGGACGACTTGTCTGCCATTACAAAAGTGGGCGTATTACGATGGGGCATCGCTATTTTTACATTTTGGTATGTATTTAAATGTCAACATAGAGTGCGTACTACGAAAGCCTATTACGGCCAAATTCATTGATAATATTTTTTATTCTAAAGTTGTAATTACAAGTTGTAAAGGTGTAATAACAAGTTGTAAAGGTGTAATTACAAGTTTATATAAAGGTGTAATTACAAGTTTCTAAAGGTGTAATTACAAGTTTATAAAGGTGTAATTACAAGTTTATAAAGGTGTAATTACAAGATTATAAAGGTGTAATTACAATTTGTAAAGTTGTAATAACAAGTTGTAAAGGTGTAATAACAAGTTTCTAAAGGTGTAATTACAAGTTGTAAAGGTGTAATAACAAGTTGTAAAGGTGTAATTACAAGTTGTAAAGGTGTAATTACAAGTTTCTAAAGGTGTAATTACAAGTTTGTAAAGGTGTAATTACAAGTTTATAAAGGTGTAATTACTAGTTTATAAAGGTGTAATTACAAGTTTATAAAGGTGTAATTACAAGTTTATAAAGGTGTAATTACAAGTTGTAAAGGTGTAATTACTAGTTTATAAAGGTGTAATTACAAGTTTATAAAGGTGTAATTACAAGTTGTAAAGGTGTAATTACAAGTTGTAAAGTTGTAATAACAAGTTGTAAAGGTGTAATAACAAGTTTCTGAAGGTGTAATTACAAGTTGTAAAGGTGTAATAACAAGTTGTAAAGGTGTAATTACAAGTTGTAAAGGTGTAATTACAAGTTTCTAAAGGTGTAATTACAAGTTGTAAAGGTGTAATAACAAGTTGTAAAGGTGTAATAACAAGTTGTAAAGGTGTAATTACAAGTTTCTAAAGGTGTAATTACAAGTTGTAAAGGTGTAATAACAAGTTTCTAAAGGTGTAATTACAAGTTGTAAAGGTGTAATAACAAGTTTCTAAAGGTGTAATTACAAGTTGTAAAGGTGTAATAACAAGTTTCTAAAGGTGTAATTACAAGTTGTAAAGGTGTAATTACTAGTTTGTACAGTTGTAATTATGGAGTGTAGTGATAGAGTGTGTAGATACATGGAGTGTAGCGACAGAGTGTGTAGAGTGTGTAGATACATGGAGTGTAGTGACAGAGTGTGTAGATACATGGAGTGTAGTGACAGAGTGTGTAGATACATGGAGTGAAGTGACTACACTCACGTAACTTCACAGTCACTTCACAGTCATTTCACTCAGTGTAGTGACAGAGTGTGTAGTAGATACACGGAGTGTAGTGACAGTGTGGGTAGATACATGGTTTGTAGTGACAGAGAGTAGAGAGTGGGTGTATTTGTAGTTACAAAAGGTGTAGTGACAGAGTCAAGTGACAGAGATTGTAGTACATGTAACAAAGTGTGTAGTGAGAGATTGTGCAGTGACAGAGAGTGTAGTGAGAGTGTAGTTAGATAGTGTTGTGGCAGAGACTGTAGAGACACGGAGAGTAGTGACAGAGTGTAGATTCAGTGGCAGAATGTGTAGTAACAGAAAGTGTACATACCAAAATTTAAAAATAGCGATGCCCCATCGTAATACGCCCACTTTTGTAATGGCAGCCAAGTCGTCCGGGAGGTCGACAAGAACTATCAGTAAATGAAACATCTGTCGAAAACCGTGCCATCAAGAATGTTTACAAAATTGAACGATTTTTGAGTGTTTACAACTACAAGTTAAAAATTGAACGCGTTTACAAAAACAAGGGCATCAATTCATATAAAATAATGTTTGATTGTTTTCATTTTGGATAGGGTTCATCATTGGATGATATTAAACAATTTCACCAAGTGTCATCAAAATCCATCAAGAATTG